CACATAACGAGCACAGTCCAAATCACCATGCTCTGAATGGTCCAGCTCAGGCACCAGACCCTCTTTAGTCTATCGCAGGCCATTCTGCCTTTGAATATTTTTTTAACAGGCGTTTTTGCAAGAATATGCTTGTTTCTTTCCCCAGGCCACCCGTTTGTTTGAAGACAGTGACCAGAGGAGTGACAAGTATATATTCGGTTTTCATGTAGCTATCTGCTGGCGGCATTTCCCCTGCACAGGCTGTCGCTGTGCTTACAGTGTAGCAAGGTTTCACACGGGCACAATGATTCCTTTGCCGTCACAGCGGCATTTCAGCAAGGTCTCTGCTTGCACCAAAACAGGTCTGCCCTCGCCAGCAGCATCATTATTGGCTTATTACACAGAATTTCTCAATTTTCATCAGTCAGAAAGACTCCCTGGGAAACACTCATATATTTTCAAGAAGTTCTCAGGGAGTAACAGCCCTAGTTCTCTGGGGTTCCTCCTTGCTTCAGGGGGGTAGGAACCCCACCAGGTCTACTGCCACTGGATTTCACACTCTCCCCTTATGCCAGCAAGACTATCCATTTGGGACCTGAGTGTGTAAAGCCACGTTTGACCTTGCCCCCCCGTGCCTTCTCTCTGCACCATTCACTCCAAAGTGTGTGGAGTGGTAGAGGAAAGAGAAGGAGCAAGAGGAATGTAATAGTCCTCCTGGGCCAGCTGCCTTTCCTGTGCTTTCCTTCACTGTGCAAGTAGGCAGTAACACCAGCCAAAAATGTTTTAATTCAGCATTCTTTTTAGGCAACCAAAAAATAACATTCTGGAGAAGCAGAACTATTTCACAGGTTGTTTCTTCTTTGGTCCATTTGCTAAGCTTCTCCTGACAAATGTTCACATGCCTCAGATCTGAAGCTTCAGAAGTTTTGGTAGTTTTGGGTTGAAAACTATCTATACAAATATATAAATAAATATGTGTGTGTTGGTGTTTATGCTACAGTTATTCTAGGTTTTGTTCATTTCGGAAGGTTAAAATGCATCCAAATCAAAGCAGAAAATGTTGGTTATTTGTTTTCTGTCTCCTTTCTCAAGTTGCTGAGTAAGCAGGCCAGTGTTTTGACTGTAAATCACACACACTGCTCTAAAACGGATACACAAGTGCCTAAGTGTGGATTTCAGGTACTTACTTAGCTTTAACATCCAAGATTGAAGACAGGGTTGAGAAAGCTCTCATTGTCTCCCGGCTGTCCCAGGAGATGCAGGGGGGCGTCAGGGGGCAGCTTACTCCAGATGTCTGCCATGCTTCTGCTGCAGCCACGGACAGTGACTGATGGTCTGCCTCACTCCACCAAACTCCTAGGCGTGATATTGAACTCTGCCTTCACCCCCAGGAACCCAAATGCATGAAGGAATATGCTACCACGGCTGAAGGGCCTCTGCAAGCGCCCTCACAGCCAGGGAGGGTCCTCGCAAGAGAGCAGAGGCAGCTGGCCCTTTGCACAAGGTTATCACTCATCTGTGATCCTTGAAACGGGAACGACGCGGCAGGACATCCTGGTGGATCACGTGCAGCCTTGTTCGCTGCCTTTCCGCCACGTTTCAGAGGATGGATGTCTCCTGGAGAACCACGGCCGCCTCTGCCGGTCCCTCAGCTGCTCCCTCGGCAAAGCTCACCTCACTTCGACAGCTCCTGCATGCTCCTACCACATACCAGTGTATCGTAAATAAATTTTTCAGGCAAGCTGCCACATCAAATTCTTTCTCCTGTGGGTGGTCCCGGGGAACAGTAGGGCCCTGTCTCTAATACCAGCCCTGATAACAGACTGTTTACAACATTAGGATTCAATGGGTTTGATTTTTTTCTTCTTCCATGCTGTAAATTGCTTGTCTAGACAGATTTGCAGCTCCAATATTTTCTAAAAGTAGGACTTTGACTCAGTTACTGATGCAATTCACCGATAGAGTGAAGTGTATTGTTAAAGGTGGCCCTGCGTTGCAGAGTTTCTGTTTTCCTTAATCTAGAAGTCTTGAAGGTGGACTAATTGCATTTCTTTTCTTTTTTGTTCTTTTTTTTTTTGTTTTTAATTAAAAGTACTGTCTCTTTGCCTGCACATGGGACTAGCTTAAAAACCTGCCTAAAGCAAAAATTTCATGCTTCCATTTCAGGGTGATAAATTGTTTTAGCTCACAAGTTTGTTTATTCAGTAAAGAGTAACACTAAAATAATAATAATAATAATTAATAATAATAATAATAAAGTTTGTACCCTGGCCTACATGTTGCAAAAGTGGGAAATCCCTCCAAGGGGAGTCCCTCCAGGCCCAGCTCACAGCACGCCGCCATTTTGTGACCTCCCCACGACGCCCATGCACTGCACTGGGGCAGCGGCCTGCTGACCCACCTCACAATGGGCAGTGCTTCCATGGAGGGAGGCAGCAGCAGAGACTGGGGTGTCAACACGCAAACACTGACATTTCCTTGCTGTTCCCCCTTTTTTCTGAGGAATTGATGTGGAAGTGGTGCTGCTCTGCCAGCCCCAATGCGCTGTTGGTGGGTTCAGCCATGAAGTGAGCTGTCCTTCCCCTTCATGGGGAAAGGGGCCATCCCTGCTCGCTCGCTGCTGCTCAGGCCAATGTGACATCTCCTGGGCTGGGTCCCTGCATAGCAGGTATGACGGTGTGAATCTCTCAACATCGAAGTGTGTTATCACTGCAGGGAGGCAAAAAGCAGAGGTGGGTGACCCGCGTGAGGAATGTGCACCGGTGGCAAACACAAGCCCCGCTTTCCACACCTACGGCTAGAACTGGATGAGGCTTTGCCCCCACTGACTTCAGCTTTTGGCCCAAATGTAATATTTGTCATATATTATTTCCCTCGTTAGTTGTCGAACAGCTGCACAAATATCACATATGAGAGGATATAATCACTCCAAAACCATCCTTGTGAAATGATGAACGAACCGTTCCTATTCCTTGTTTTCCAAATCAACAGTGTTAAAATGAGCAACACAGATGTCTCATTTTCACTTCCAGATGTTTTCTACATGGGGTGGTAATAATCAGTAGTAGTTTTACTTTAAAGGTATTTTATATAAGGCTATGAAATGCAAGCAATATGTAGAGGCCATTTAATTAAAAAGGCTACGAGATGCAATGAGCATGTAACACAAGAGAGTTTTTCAGGTGTTTTTACAAGCATGGAAATAAATATTTTCCTGTTCCAAAGCGGAAAATGCAATGGTTTTATGACAAGACACAACCCAAGAGAAATGAATCAGGCAACATTTTGAAAGGACTGAACTGATTTTACACTCTAAGAGTCAATGCTAATTTTGTTCCTGAACCACAGAACTGTACCCACTGCTTTTATTTCTGATGATGATTCAAAATACCCAAGAAGAATATTTTCCACGTTTCTTCCTTAAAAACAGCAGAATGATCTTGAAATATGTATCCTTCTACATGCACAAATTGGATGTGGATTGGAAACTTCCAGTGTTCTAAACAAAGTTCTTCTGGGTGCCAGAAGTGACATGTATTAAGCTTCCTCTCCTGCAGAGGTAACTGCAGGGGATATTCTCAGGGTAATTTTAGAGGAAGGTACCAAGCAGGGGCTTGCCTCCCAGACTTTTCCCTTAAAACACCAAGTTCTACAATCTTGTCACTGTGCAAGAATTGGAGCTTATGTTGTTATATATTTATAAAGTAAATGGTAGATTTCATGGCCATAGAGAAAGTATTGGCCATGCAAATTTCAAAGGTTCAGAAACGACCAAACAGAAAGGTACTTACTAGATATTAAAATCTCCTGATTTTAAGGGTAAAGCTAGCCTTTTTAATTCTGGCATTTAGCAATGCCTGCCTGCAAGTGGCCTATTTCTCCCTTCATCCTCAATTCTGACATGAATAAATATAAGAACTGGGTGGTCCATGTGGGGTTTGTTTTTGGTTAATCTGCACCAAAAATGCTTATATAACTGGAAAAGTACATATTATTTTACAGTCATTTTTAAGATTTTAATTCAGAGATCTCATCACAGTCCTTAATTGTTTCTTGCGAGAATTATAATAACAAGGCATCTAGAGAAAGTTGAGACTTAAAATCCTGTGTTAGAAGTCTATGTGGTGTCACCTATATTTGCTACTAGATTCCATACTTGCCATTAGATTTAATATAGTATGCAGGAATTTCTGAAGTCAGTAAATTATTATTAGCAATTGACCCCCATTATATAGCAATTATTGCAGAGATTTTGTCAGGTCACATCAGACCAGCAAACACCAATATATACTTTTCTAATAAAGCCTCTGCTATCTTAATGCAACTTTACAAAAAGCTTCTTGGAATGCAGAAATAAGACTACTTTCATTAGATACATTGAACTTCCTAATTTAAATAGTTATCTACTGTTGCCTTCTGGTTTCATCCAAGAAAAGAGAATAACTGCTTATCTTTTGCTGATTCTTCTGCCTCCTCCAGGTCGCATCTAATATAATAGGGGAAAAGTACAATCATATGATCTTGACAGTAATATATTTTTTACGGCTGCAGACTTCCCAAACCTCTGTGTATACATTCCCCCTGAAAGCTTCCTACTATTTTTTTATTTCTTGTAAATCTCCTTGCTTTTTTTTTTCTTCTCAGAAGAAATCAAAGACAAAGGACTTTCTGAAAACAAAAATACACTATGAACAAACTTGGAAGTAAAGCAAATGTTTTATTTCTGATTATCAAATAAGTGCAGGTATCTGTGGCCTCTAAGCTTATGTTAAAATAGTAACAGCAGCAGCAGCAGTGTTTCTTAGAACCTATGTAGAGCCCATAGAAGTCACTGGAATATCTCATGCCATTTTTGTTGTTTTGAAGAGGGAAGCTAATGAATATGCTCAAAAGATTAACTGGATCAAATTAGCCTTGGTAATGATCTGGACAGGGTTATTTACACACACACACAGGCAGGCATTGCAAGATGCATCCCACTGTGGTTGCTGATCACAGGTCTTCTCCCAGAAACTTCTCTTTCAGGGCTTCCTCCAGTTCTTCTTCAGGTAGCTGGTAAATGTGTTCAGGACGACTTCTTGAAATCTGTCGCTGTGGAGTACCCACAGAGGGATGAGCTGCAGGATGCACGCCTTCAAAACAACCAAGCAAAAGCGATACAAAAGACAAAAGGTTACAGAAGCCTCTGGAAAGATACTAACTCAGTGTTCACAAGGTCGTAAAAAATAGGAAATGAAAAAAATGCTACTTGATACTTTTAGTATGAATGTTGGAGGGAAATGTTCTTTTTGCTCAGTTTTCAGTAGATTTGTTCTCTTCCGAGTGCTTTTATTTAGCGGTCATCATTGTAGCTGACATATAAAAATACTTATTCTATTTTCTTAGCCTAGTTTCCTAGGAAGATGAAGTTTATGGGATAACAGAGTCAGTTTGTTTGTTTGTTTGTTTTGTCCTTTCCTTTCAGCACTAATATTCCGTCACTAATAGCTTGAATCTGCAGGTCAATTTCTGTAATGGGGAAGGGGTCTCAAATTCATTTACTAACAGGGTCATGAAAACAGGCAGCTGAAGAAAGGAGAGAGACTAACAAGAGAACAGCTTTGAGCTCTGCTCGAGATACAAAAGCACAGAAAGCCACACTTCACTGAGAGACAATGCCTGTTACTAGCATCCTCCTCCCTTCATAGTTCATTATTACATTATCAGCACCTGGGCACCTTAACAATCTAGTCATAATTTCTCATCTGAAGCCTCATCTTAAGGTTTTTGAAGTCAGTAAAAAGATCCTTACTGCCAGTCGGCCTTGGTTCCACTTTTAGGACCCATCTGCTAACTATCAAATTCAATTACCAATATTTCATGGGCTAAGCATCCAAAAATCTCATCTCCAAAGGTGACATAATCCAGTGATTCATTAACAAACTCCTCTGGCCTCTTTGTGATAAGACCAGGTTTTTGGTACATTGTCATTGGAGTAGAAACACCGTAAGGAGACACTACCTAAAATAAATAATAAAAAAAGGAATCAAACAATTGCAATAGAATCAAACAATTTGATAAACTCTTGCATTTCACTGTGCAGAAGAATACCCTCGCATCTGATGAGCTATAATAGGCACGTGCAGTGACCTGATACTACAATAGAATAAGGAGAAAAGACCATAGGTCCAGAGAAGGAGAAGAGAAAGCTTTGGCAGAAGCACCTTCACTACAGGTGGCTACCCACTGCAGGTTTGAGCATCCCAGACAATATTCATTAAAATGAAGGCAAATATGGTAAGATATAGCTTCACCTGTATGATAATTCCCTTTTCCTTATATTCTGCTTGCAGTGCTTTTGAAAAAGTGCATATAAAAGCCTAGGGAGAGAAAAAGAAAGAAAGAAAAAAAGAATTATCTTAGTACAGTGTTTGTATTTTATTCACAAGTATGTGCATACATAGTCTTTACCAAATATGACCAAGCATCATACAACTTAAATCACAGTAAAAGTGGTGAAAAACCTATAAATGATCTTTTCAAGACACTCTGCTGTCCTGCCTTAGCAATAGCAGGATTGAATCTATCTGCAATTGAAAAGACATAGCCCGGCACCAGCTCAAGGCAGACTTGGAGCAAGTCCTATGCAGGTTGTGCTGAAACTTTTGTCATATTTCATGAAAATGCAGAAACATAAATACCAGAGTCCCCTTTATACTAGCCCTTGGCACTGTTACATGTGCTTTGGCTGAACATATCCTTACAGTCCAAGGCTTATGTTATAGTAAAGAAGAAAGTGAAATCCAGCTAATGCCTTAGCCTACAAAGATTTTTAAAGAAGTAATGTATTTGAGGATTTGGGCACATTGTCATGCGAGTAGAAACACCATGAGGAGCTTATTTGATTTCATGGAATCATAGATTGGAAAAGACCTTCAAGATCATCGAGTCCAACCATAAACCCTTCTACACTATGCCTGTTAAACCATGTCCCTAAGTACCTCATCCACACATTTGTTGATTTCTGAAGCTTGAGCCTTCAAGGTTGATATTTCCAAAAGTTTTCTCCACAAAAATGCCATATTAAGAGGAAAACCTGTTGGCATTTCTTAGCCATCTTTTGCCAAGTCTTGCAATTTAGGACACCAATGGCCTCATGATATATCATGAAACAATATTATGTTGATAAGATAAATAGCTTCCTTTTAGGGCATTATAAAAAGAAGTGCATTTTAAAAAGTGCTCAAAAACAGACATTCAAGAAAAAGAAAAGTCAGAAGATGACAACCAATCTACCACCTCACTTTGGAATTAAAGAACTAAAATTGTATGGTTTGAATGTACTATTGAGTACTATGAGAAATTTATTTTAAAAGGAGAACAGGTAAACAGTAAATCAGATTTTTTTTGGCCTTTTTTGTTTTGTTTTGTTTTTAAATAAAGCTGAGTTCTATCTATGTTCAAGCAAATACCATTCTTTAAGAGTTTTTTTGTTAGAAGTAAATCTGATCTGAGTGGAACATTTTGGGAGTTTCAGTGAAAAGCAGGAATTCCTTATTCTGATAAGCTCTTGGGTTTTAATTCAGGAATTCTAAATGAAATATTTGAAGTCAGGTGACTCAGCACCCAACAACCAGTGATTTTTCTCTTAATTCCATAACTAAAACTAATCAATCTAAAGTTTTGAGTAAAACACATAAGCCATTCCAATAAAAGCCATCACAGCTCTGAATCAAGTCATGTTGTGATTATTGGTAAAATAGTGTTAAATTAGAGGCAAAAATATCCTCATTACAAGCCATACCTTCAGCTGGATTTCAGTGGTATAGCCCCAGTGCTCAGTTAGTGCAAATTCCCATTGATCCATTATTTCAGGGGAGCAACATTGACTCATGCCACCTGGGAACCTGACCCTGTGTTGCTGACATAAGCATTGGAGCAAACATTTGATTGACATTTCTTTATAAAACAATGTGAAAAACTTACCTTAGAAGCTGAGTACATTGTGTATAAAGGACAAGGGAAAGTACCCAGACCAGAAGACAGATTCAGAATAAGACCTTTTTGTCTGAAATTTAATTTAAATATGGTTACATTCAATTATACTTGAGAACACTACAGTAAAAATGTGCAAGCTGAACACAACTTGTTTTCCCCCCAGAAGACAGAGCTCTCTCACTATATAGTAGACTACATTCTCAAAAGACTTGATCTTTGTGGTTTAGTTAAGTGCCCCAAACAACTTGGAATTATGTCATACGGGAAATTTAAATGCCCAGTGCAGCCAGAAGCATGGGAACATTGCACACACTATTGTACGTCCAACAGAGCAAGAACTGCCGGGCAAGGAAAGACTTCATGCTCCTAAGGAATCAGTAGGTCTCCTTTGCTCGTTAACCAGAACATTCTTTTTCCTGCTTCTTGCAACTGTTTCTTCAGTTTCCCTATCCACAGCTCCCAATACAAATTCATAAAAATGATGCATTCAGCAACAACCAGGAGAGAAATAAACAGTAAAAGCTTATTCTGTTGCCCAGAAAAAAGCATATACCCTCCTCTAATGTGCATTAGTAACAATGTTTTCTAAAAACTCCCTCTGAAGAGTTTCACTGCTAGTTCAGTAACTCCCATGTCAAAATACACATTGTATTAAACAGAGGAAAGAAATACATATTTACACAGCTGAACTAATCTCTCTGAAGAAATATAGGTACCTATATTTGAACAGTATTACTCAGAGCACAGCTACCACTAAGCATTAAAATATTTTCATATGCAACTGCATGCCTAGCTAGGCCCAACACATGCAACTTTATTTCTGCAACACATGCATGTTTTTCTTGGAAAAAGGTTACATATTTTGTATTTTCTTTTGTTCTACAGTTGATTGATGCCTCATGGCAATTCCTGTCATTCATTCACACAGCACTAACATCAACAATAATAAATCTGACATACCATAAAGCAGAGAGGGTAATCATGAAAAGGCACAGCTATCACTGAGCAAACTGAAAGTAACAACTGAAAACTAGTGAAAGTTATAGAGTAAGAAAAAATATCGAAATTATACATATATGTATTTAGAGAGAGAGAGAGATTTTTACCGTAGCTCCATTTGTTTCAAAATTATTTGTGTCATCTGTAAGACAAGTAAGTTAAGAGTTATATCAAAATATTCCTACTTCTGGCTCTAGCTTTTGATTCATGATTTTTTTTTTCACAAGATTTTGCATTTGCTAAAGACCCAGGAATATGTGTACAACTCAGACAACCTTTGGGGAAAGAATTAGAGATATCCATGGCCTGCCAGATGGCTGAATTGTTGCCAAGAATTCCAAAGGTTCATCTGCTAAGCAGTGAAAATTCAAAAAGTTCTTAACAGCATCTGAATTCCTGCATCTTCCACATTTAATAGAAACTTAATGAGAAAGCAGGTTTCACTTCTCACTCTACTTGACTCATGAAGATCAGTAAAATCATGAAAAGCCAACTTCTTTTTCTCCTAGTAAAATAGTGTTAGGATCATATTTATGCTAAATATTTTGTCATCCATTCTTATTTTAACAGCAGGCTTAATCATATTTATATATTTTTACAGCACGGGTAAATCCATTTTAGGTATGAAGTCTGCTGCTGGTTGTTTTACTCGAGGAGTGTTGCTGACATTAGGCTTTAGCCCTTTGGCAATTTATACTCAGATTATTGATTTGCTGTAAACAGTCATAGTGCATAAATGCCTGCATTTGAAAAATTGCAAAGGGTAGTAATAAAAAGCAGTGCAAATGAATGGTTCAGCTTAATTCAATCTCTGTTAATTCCCTGTTTCTTGGGGTTGGTGGCTTGGTTTTTGTTCTTTTGGTTTATTTGGGATTTTTCTGCTTTTTTTTTGTTTGTTTTGTTTTCTGGAAGTGTCATTGCACAAGGGATAAGTAAGAGCAGGGTAAGGTTCACAAGCTTCATTTTCAGAAAGGATAGTAAAACAAAAAGAGAGGGTAAAAGCTCGTCATGACAGCTTGAATAGAAGGGAATTCACAAAGTAGAGGAAAACATTGAAGAAGGCCCTGCCTGCGCTGAAATGCTGAAATTCCCACTGACTTCTGTGAGAGCCAGAAATACCTGGAGGTTGGTCACCTGAAGAGAGCACGGAGCAGTGGGCAGGACCCTTCCAGGTATCCAGCCAACAAAAGATTACAAGGTAACTTGGATCTAGCCATTTGAAATGCTCTTGGGAGCATGACTGGCATTGGCACTAAGTGTTTGTTGCAGGCCTGCTTGTGTGGGAGAGGTACCTGTAGCACTAAGTATTGCAGATGTTTCTGTTCTTTCCATGTGTAACTAGAATAAAACCTATGAACAGAATGTTCCCCAAAAATCACTTGATGTGTTTTAATTGACAGGTATTCTGTGATTTATAATCTCAAGTCATTAAGCAGAAATGCAAATTTGGGAGGTAAAGTTTACTAGCTAAGGCAAGAAGAACTTCTGGTGATAATTTTTATACTGTGTTTAGAAAGACATTACAGATGAACGACAAAGTGTTCTTCTCTCGTTCATGTTAACATGCTGGTTGCAAACAGTAGAGTTACACAAATTTTAATCAAAGGTGGAAAATGCAAAACATTAACTGTTCTTTTAAGCAAGGAGTCAACAAAATTAACAATGAGGAGCAGTGAAACAGAATTGGCATTCAAATCCTTAAGTTTCTGTCCCGTATTGATGCAAAAACATTTTTGCAGGCAGAGTTATATCTAAAAGTGTTCTTCCTGTACCAAAAATGCCACTGAGTATCTTCTACAGATTTCGATTTTGTAACAGAATCTCCCCATTTATTTAAATCAACGGGTTTTGGAAAATGTTTCAGCTGCTATGTAACACTCTGTCTTGAAGCAACTGTGTTAAACAATTTCCAGCAAGTATTTCCCAGGCAAAAGAATCAATTCTGCCAAGCCTTCCCTAAAATAAAGCTGACTATTTACAGCTGTCATAAGTGACTATGTGAGAATAAATAAAATGAAAAAACACCTGAGAGCTAATTGGTCACTCCGCATGGAGCTACATTGTTTGTTGTTGTTGTTGTTGTTTTGTTTTGTTTTGTTTTCCAATCAAAAAATGTTATGGATTATATAGGTCTGTGGCACATACCTTTGTAACAGAAATAATGTTGCAGTTGATAAGACTCTGCAAGAAGCAAGAAAACAATAAGCACATAGTTAACAACAGACTGGTATCCTATCTAGATAACATGTGTAGAAATTCCAACAAAAAGCCTGCATCTAGCAAAGCATTTAGTCTTTCAGCTGCTAATTTTGATTTGGATTTTCGCCAACTGTGAGGTACTCCAAGGTACCTTAGCTGATGGTGGATTACAGAATCCCAGAAAGGTTAAGGTTGGAAGGGACCTCTAAAGATCATCTAGTCCAACCCCCCTGCTCCAGCAGGGACACCCAGAGCACGTGGCACAGGGTGGCATCCAGGCAGGTTTGGAAGATCTCCAGAGAAGGAGACTCCACAGCCTCTCTGGGCAGCCTGTTCCAGGGCTCTGTCACCCTCACAGGAAAGTTCTTCCTCACATGGAGATGGAACTTCCTGTGTTTCAGTCTGTACTCATTACCCCTTGTCCTGTCACTGGGCACCCCGAGAAGAGCCTGGCCCCATTCTCCCTACATTCACCCCTCAGGTACTTGTACGTGTTGATCAAATCTCCTCTCAGCCTTTTCTTCTCCAGGCTAAGGCGGCCCAGCTCGCTTAGTCTTTCCCCATATGATAGATGCTCCAGCCCCTTCATCATCTTCTTTTGTTTTTGTTGTGCTTTGTTTCCTTTTCCCAGCCATGCCATTCAACCCCCTCGGTTTCATATTGCTTTGATTCTGCGTGCAGCTTGGCCCAGCCAAGTCTTCGCACATGGCAAGGCCTGGAGGCCGCTGCCCTCGCAGCGGGGCCGCGTGCAGCCCGCGCCACAGCTCCCGGGCCGCGCGGAGCCCGGGGCGCTCAGCGTGCACGGAGCCTCTCTCCACCTGGTGCCCGCACTGCTGCTCGAGGGGAGCAGCCTGCTCAAGGGCTACAGTCTGTGCCAGGCTGCGGCATGTAGATTTCACGGGTCCTGTGGTGGGTGCCAGCAAAAAAAAAAATTGAGATGCTCAGAAGATCTGAGCTTTGTCCACAATTATGTTCATATAGGTAAACAACAAGGCAAAGAGAATCTTGATTAAGTCTTTAATCCTATAAAACTTTTGCACTATAGTCTACTTCCCACAATAGTAAACTTCATTCAAACTAGTTTTTGGTTAGTTTTTGTTGTTGTTGTTTGTTTTTCCAGTTTTCACATACTTAATAATGGTGTTTCAAAGAAAGGAGGTTCTAATGATATTAGTAAGAACCCAACACTTAAGCTGTGGCTGTGACCGGGCTGGACCCCATTATATTACCTATGATCAGCGAGCCAGAGAGGCTGCTGATCTCTGCAACATCCTGGCCAGCTGCACGCTCTGATCCGTTCTTAAACGTCTGCACCAATTTAGCTGACATCTACCACTCTGTTTCTCTCGCAAGCTCTTCTGAACATTAAAAAATGAAACAAAACAAACCATGCTCCTTCAGGCCCAGTGCTTTCCCCACTCAGTTGCACAGTTAAGCATGCGCTGATTGTAACAGGGGTAGAACCTGTCCCTCATTAAGTGGAATTGCACTTCCTAATTGTTATAGTGCAAGTAGGAAACCACAGAGTAATCCTACCTCATCTACGTCTGGTCCGTTAAGGAAGCGGCACGGAAGAGGATTATGAAGCATTCCAACATTGTTAACTAATCAAGGGAAACACAATGATAAGAACCACATCTAGACAAAGTACGTATTTGAGCTAGTTAAACAAACAGGTTCTCCACAAGAGTCAGAAGTTAATAAGCTGTGTGTGAGGGGGGATGCTGTCTAGCACTCGGTCTCATTCGTACTGATGTTATCTGCACTGACTTCAGGGAATGGAAAAACAGTCTGTTTCCACAGCTCGGGCCTGTTTCTTCTTTTGCTTGGTTGTTTGGTTTCTATTTGTTTGTTTGTTTCACTGTTGAATGGACAGTTTTCTATACCAACAACAACAAAAAAGTTTTCATTGTTCCTATGTGGCTCACACAAATTAGGGTTAGCCACAGGCTCATTTCAGACTGAATGTAAGAACTGCACACAGCTGGAAAACAACCAGGAGTGAAAACTAATTCCCTGATGCTACGCAGGGGAAGAAGTCACCCCACTAACTAGTGCTGCTTGTAAAGCAGCAGAGGAGATCTCACAGGAAAGAAGGCACGTACAGGGCAGAGAAATGGGAAGCCCTTGGAGAATTATAATTCACTTTTGAAACTTTCTCATAACAAACAAAGCTTAAAAGCAGTAGGCATGCTTGGCTTTAGCAGTGCCTGCGAAGTATAACAAGTTTTTATGGCATGCATCATTTTATGCAGTTCTCTATAGAATAAACCACAGATGCAAAACACCCTTCAGCCGCATGATGGCTTCTTTTAGTGACTCACCCAAAACACCAATTTCCAGGCCTTCAAGACTTTCTTCAATATTCTCATACACTGAATCTTTAGTGAAATCAGCTTGTATAATCTTCACCTTTTGACCTGTGGTCTGCTCTGTAATTAAGAAAAAAAAAAAAACCCTCTACATCTACAGTGGGAGAGAGAACTGCAACTGAGGGAATGAGGGAAATAATCAGATGTCCCATGTAATAATGCCCATTGTAGAAAAGGTAACAAGAAAAACACCCTCATTGTAACAAGTTCTTTCAGGGAATGGCCTGACTAATAAAGGATCAAATTTTGCCCTGAAATTGATGGATACTCCCTCACAAAACTTGAACATTTGGTTCTCAAGTAAGAAAAAAAAAAAAGGAATAACCAATACAGAACTTCTTCACCACGTTATCCTAATACTTACAAAAGACTGCTGTCAGCATGTTCGACAAGTGAACAAGTGTGCAGAATTGCTTCAAAGTGTTTTCCTATAATACACCCATTTGAATAAGCAGAGCTTATGTTTTTGTGCAGGGGGAGGGGAAAAGAGGCATCGTGAGGCAGTATCTTCTGCCTCCTTTTCAAACTACTTCTCCCATATTTTTAGATTTGTACTTCTGTAGACCGGGCCTTCCCCAGGATTCTGCAGGACTAAAAGGCATTTAAGGGAGGGCATAACTTCCATTTTACAAGGTAATTTACACAGAAGGGAAAGGGAAATGTATGATTTTTCCACTATCATTGCTATGCAGGAACGGAGCCCAACTGTACATTACCATTTTTAACAGCAGGCAGTTTACTGCTGTCCATATTTTCAATGAGTTTTCTTGAGAAAAAAAAAAAAGTGGAGGAGACTCTAATTTATTCCTCTTTAACGGTGAGGTTCTCCTTTAAAGGGGCTCAATGAGGTCTCCTCTAACTAGAGGTCCATGTTGTAAAATCTGGCTACTAAACCTGCCTTAAAGTTTTATGGGCAGCCTGAAATCCAGATGAATTTTGCTGAAAAAAGTGGCAAAGGGAAGCTTGGAAACATCAGTAGATGATCTGAATGCAAACAGGCTGGGAGCTGCAGGAGTTCAGGCACACAGGGATAGCAGGAAGTCTGCCTGGGAGCCCTGCTCGGGAAACCCTGTGTTTGCTCAGAGCTTGATTTTGTCTCTAGTTTCATACAGGCAGGAGAGCGAGCTGCCCCGGGTGCAATTCCGATGCAATGATCTCCATGCAGAGATCTGGCCTCATACCTCCTGGAGTACATTTGGATTTAGGAAAAGACCAGTTATTCCCTGCAATGACTCCTGCATGGCAGTGAGGCTGGCATGAGGCCAGCTCCGGTTTCGGGTCCAGCGGGCCAGCTTGCACCAAAACAGGGCCCATGCTGGAGGGCAGGGGGCAGATGTGGGAGCTGTTCCCTCCTCGCCACATGGATACACCAGGAGCCTCCTCTGCCTCTCACTAGACCCGTAACACAAGCAGCCTGAGGAACGGCAGACTCTCTGGCTCCAGGTCTGAAAAGCGGGTTGCATCTTATGTGCAATTTTAGAAGACATCTGTCTCCGTGACAGGGGTGAGGGGAAAGAAGTGCCCTTTTCCCTGTGTCTTTCCAGGCTGCGGTTGTGTGTATGAAAGGGACGAAAAGGTACCCTTTGAACCTTCAACCTATAAAAGCAACTCTAGTGGCAAATGACCCCCTAGTGGTCCCAGGCTGGGGGAATGATATCACTACAAAGAATAAGGACATTGTGAGCATAAATGCAGGGAAGGAAAAGAACAGAGCAACAGCTGGAGCAGGCGCCTATATGACCTTTGGATTCAAAGAGCTCTATAAACAAAATGAGATGGTCTTAAAAAGTGCAGTAATGTTGTGGCCATCTTTTTTGCGGGCAACCAGAAGGGCAGCCAAAACTACAGTAACATAAAAATCAGGATCAAACAAAACATTTGGCCTTCCCGTGTCCCCGTGTCTGCACAGAACTGCACCGCTGCAACCAGCGCTGTCAGCCAACAAACAAGTACTCCAGATGGCTTTGCTCTGTCTCATTTAAGAATGAAACAATATATTAAAAAACAATAAAACTATCATGCTGATAAATGAATTATCCAAGGATAGCTCTTTAGAAAATGATAATAATTCCATAAAGGAAAGTGCCAAAGAAAAAACCCTTTGCAATGTTTCTCTCTCTGTGACAGAGATTTATGACAGCCTTTGAAGGCATAAGCCATTTCAACCTTTTTAGAAAGTTCTAAGTGTGCCAGAAGCAAAGAGCCTGGGTTTTCAAACATGAGCACAGGTTATATGCTTCTTTTTAATGAAGGGAAGATTAATATAATGAAAATTTAAAACTTGAATTGAGGTGTTTAATCTGATGTGTTATAAAATGTGTCATTAAGAAGGATACATCTAACTCCTTTTGACCTCAGACCATTTGGGAATCCTGCTTGTCAGATAGGATAATATGCTCCCTTTTGAAATTTACCAAGAAGAAAATAAATCAGGCTGAAGCACAAAGTTGGTTAGAGCATACACTCTGCCAGAAACGCTTCTTTCAGGCTTAGAGAGTTACAAAGGTCATCCAAAAACTTGAGGTAGCAAAATAATGAAGGCCTGAGTGGTTCAGGAACTGTTCTGTGGAGGAATAAGAGAAGTTTCTGAAGTAACTATAGTAGAATTTGAATATGAAGAGAACTCAGACTAAGATGGCATCCATATTCAGATGAAATTTGCAGAGAGCGGGGCAAAATAAGCAGCTGAGTAAGCCATTTTACCTGCAGAAATTGTTGTTAAAAACAAGATTTATGACTGGGAATACATGTAAAAGTTCTATAGTATTATAAAGCACTAATTCTGGCTCTAGTTTTCTTGAAAAAGTATTTACTCAGAAATACAGGTAAAAACTCTTCAGAAATAATAGGAAAACAGAGATGAACTAAAGAAAGATGGTAAAAATATAAAAGAGAAGAAGACGATAGAAAATACTCAGAAAAACTCAGTGAAGAGACAAAAAAAAAAAAGAATAAAAGAAGAGGAAATACTGTTAACCACTAGAGTACTCAGAAACATTAGTTAAGGCCCTTAATCTCTTGGTTTTGTACTTGGATATTGCAAAAACAATGCCAAGTAATAATGTCTCACCAGTAGGCATCAGCCGTACTGCAGTTACTGTTAAACTACAGTTTACCAACAGGTAACCTTGGAGGGAAAAGGAAGGATGTGCCAAGTGCTTTACCGGGTGCAGGCATCTCGGCCTGCTCTCTGCTCAGGGAACAAGGAATGGAGAAAGAAGCAAAACAAACTGGAAACTGACCTTCTAGGTTTAAGAGCATTTAGATGAATTACCACTTTTACAGGTCTTAGCGGGAATTAAACAGATTTGTTTCCAGACCACTCAGTAGAGTGGTTTTGATATTAATTCTATCATTTCATATTAATGGGCATGATTTCTGCAGCAAAGGTTGATAAAACTAGTTACTGTATTACCAAACCCAAACTCGTGGAGTACACGCTAGTCTAAACCAAAGTATCTGCACTATTCCTACTACTTTCTGAGGATCAAACACTTTCTTCCTAGAAACTTCTCACTCTTCCTAGTGCGAAGAAAGCTCACTGTGAATAACTTATGTATCTTACAGCAGTGGCATTTTCTCATCTGTTTAGTGTAGTAATATAACAGCTAAACCCTACAAACCTTGCTTGCATCAACACGTCATCGTATGCAACTCTTCAGTCAGGATTGACCTGCTCCGCTCAGCTTGCTGAGAAGGTGCATGCAGAAGTGCAGGGAGTGCAGCTAATGTCCCACTGCTAACTTCTGTTGCTAATCTCACGTTTTTATGGATTGATCAATAATACATATTGCTACATACCGTAACACAAACTGCAAGAAGTATACCAGAGTGTGTCTGTCTGCTTGCTGTAGGGCTTTGTTACCTTTCATCTCACATTTTGAAAACCCTTCTTGCCAGAATGGGAGGAAATCTTGCTTTCAATTCCAATGTTCCTTTGGAGAAATGCTTTTCTTATTGTGGATTTCTGCCCATTCCTAATTCCAGTTTTGAGACATGTTCTCTGGATCACCTACGATTCACTGGCCTGTTTGAAAGCCAAACTCTGAGATCTCTGGACTTATCCACACTTCAATCTCCTTTCTTTTGTATTCTTCTGTATCAAAACAGAAGGCAACACACTGATTACGCAAATAATATTACCAGGTTGGAGAGAGAGGCAAGTCAATTAATTAATGATGTCTAACCTATTGGGAAAATAATAATAATAAATATATATGGTGTAAAAGTTAAAGAAGAGAAAACACGAATAACTGCCCAATCCTACAATTTATTTATGTTGCCTAAAGCACATTTTTTTTGTCTAAAGCTCTCTATGTCTTAATCTCCTTGCACATTAGTTAGGGATAATGATAACTGCTCAGACTGAGGCACTGTTTGTTTAAGCAGTTTAAAGAGAAAAAAAAAAAAACAGAAAATTTAGAACATTGTTCTGGTAAAATTTTTGCTTAAGCTTTGGCTTCCAATTTTTATTTACTCACATAACATCACAGTAAGTTTAACCTTTCTCTCTTTCCTGATGCTTAGCTTCTTTCTTCTTTTCTGATGACTGCCTAGCTTAACTACGAAAACATTTGCAAGCTGAAATCAGGCGGACATTTCAAAAGCTTTGACATAAGCACACATTTAAAAGCCTGATCCAGAGCTCCCTGCTGATTTAATGGCCTCCAAGATCATATACTCTGAGCTTTTCCTCACTCCGTCTTCCTCTCCTTCATTTTCTTTGTGCCGTCTACTTGTTGTTATGTTGTCATTTCCAACCTGACACAAGAAACATCACGAGTCACTCTGGGCTTCAGCCAAAACCCATGGAAAACAATGGGAAGAGCTCGCTGGGATTTGCCCCAGCTTGGGCAGACTCTGGGGGAAGCTCTTTGTGCCCACAACCCATCTGAACAGGGCTCAGATGCCCCAACAGCATCACCGCGCTCCTGCGGTCTCACTGCCTGACTCTGCACACCAGAGATTACCTGAAGAACCCTGCTGAAGTCCACGGGGCTTCCCCACAGGCCCCGCTCGCAGGACACGCAGGAGCGCTCGCAGGACAGGCCATTTGAGCAATACCTTTCAGGACAGGGTCAGGCTCCTGCTATGTGTGAGCTACAGAGCTCAGTACAGGAGGGCCTCAATTAGGAAGGGGGCCAGCGGATGGCCTTAAATAAATCACAGTACGGTGGAATTTACAGTATGTTATCTTTCCAGCCCTCCACCACTTCTTCTCTTTACTTAGTTGTGTCAGTCTCATGAATCTTGGTGTTTTCATTCTTTGGTTCTGATTATAATTTACAACACAAAGAAACCATGAAAACTCCTTAGCCTTTTTAGAGGATTTTGTTGTTTAAATTCTTTAATATTTAGCTGCAAAGAAAGGCAACAATGACACTGTAGCTGGCCTAATTCCCGTGGAAGTTATTTTTTTATGACTGTTTACTTAAGAGGAGCTAATGTAGGCTACAGTCACACTGGCCTAATGGATATGGCCGCTTATAGAGACTGCTCACAGAGAGCTTGTGCTTTCCCCACTGAAACCACTTGCTTTTCGAGGGAAAACAGGTATGTTGTTAGCACAGACAGAGGGAAATGGGCAGAAAATTTAGGATATTAGGACTTGATTCAGCAGCTTCAGGTTCAGAAATTACAGATTTCTTTGCTCTCTTAAAGTTTCTTTGCTCTCTATCCCTCCCCTCTATCCCTGAGAGATGCACTGCTCTCTCTGCAGATGGGTATCCTGTTGCAGTGAGGTGACAGACACTTAACAGGACAATACATGAATCAAACACCGGGTGGATTGACAGAGAGAGAGTGGGAAGGATAACCTTGATTATAGAAGTCTTTAAAGTCAGTTCAGGGTATAAACTCCTTTGACTCATACAGGGATCCCAACCTCAAATCTCCATGGATTTAAAAAAGCCATTTCTTAAACTATTCCCCTTCAAAGATAAAAGAGGGGATATTAACTCCAAAGACATGCTATTTAGCTGCTTTACCCCAAAATAGGCATAACTTGTAAACCTTATGGAGAAAAAGCTATCAAGTATTCATTTACTCCTCTTTTTTTTCTATATCATTTATGCTTATTTTCTTAGGTGACTTACTTTTTTCAGCTTATAAGAACTAGCCTAAAGGTATCGTTTCTTTGCCAGTCACAAGGTGACTATGCCAGCTTTTTTAGGCAAGCTTACTATAACATCTCAGTTGTCTGCATTTACAGTTTTTACGGATAGGAGAAGCCAATCAGGAACCTGCCTCCATTTTTGCCTCTAACCTATTCCACTGTTGGAATTGCAGCCTGTATTTTCAAAGCTGTCCATGAGTCATTTGGAGAGGCTCAAGCAAGGGAGTATTGCAACGAATAATTTGTAGCACTGCGGTCGTACCTGGGGCTGCAGCTGTACCTGGGGCCACGCTGTGCACTGCACAGTGCCAGCAAACTGAGGAAATAGACTCAGGTCCCTGGGGGCTTTGCCAGTCTGCTAAATATGAAGGTAAGTTTGAGGCAAGCGCTTACCTACTTCAGTGGCTACTCTCTGAAGTTTTTCAAGAGTTCTGCTTATCATAACTATATTTAGTCCACGTTTTGCCAGCTACAATAGAGGAAAATAGAAGTCGTTAGAGAAAAATAGGTGATGAGAATCCCTATAAAATTTTCCCGTTTTATGATAAAAGCAATAATGGATATTTTGTAATTGCTTTCACTCACCCATCACCTGCCTAATGAGCAAACAGGAAATGTGAAAACCATGCCAAATTTTAAGAAGAGTTCTTACAGTCTGTCTAAACATCTCCTTCTCTATATAGTCCTGGACTTTTGCAAGAAAAAATATACTGGACTGTTGTCTAAACAGTCCATAATCCCCAAAAATACGGCCCAAAATACATTATCTTTTCAAATGAATCGCTTTTTAAGCAAAAGAATGTCTACAGGCAGTGAAGACAATCTGACATTTCCCAGAAAAAAAGGGATTTTTACTTGGAAAGGGAAAGCCAAATATGTTGATGACTTCCTAGTCATTTTACAAGACTGCTCTCCACCCTCTTTTGTTTTTTTTCTTTTCTTCCTCTAAGAAGTGGATTAAATACATTGAAGACATGAAAGTGTTTGAAAGAAAATGGATTTAATCATGATTTTTATAGAAAAAAAGTCTCATATAGATCAGATAGATAGCTATTTTTAAGTGTTTGTTGTATTAAAGGGAAAAAAAAAGGAAGGGGGAAAGGAGAAAAGATGAAGAAGTCTATGCATGAAAATTCAAAATACAATCACACAAAGATACATCCACAAAGATGTTGGCAAGAGTTGCAGTTTACAGCTGTGAATACTATTTAACACAACAGTCCATTTATAGTCGCTTTCGTATTACCATGTGCAGAACAAATGCAGAACAAACAGAGAAGGCCCTTTTTCCTTTGGCCTCTCATTCCCATCAGTTTGAGTTTAAGGCAAGCCTTGAGAGAGAAATATGCCCCCAGCTTGTGAACCTAGGTTATTAACAAGCAGCAGCCAAACTGAGTTCTGCACACAAAGTAAAAAAAGATAGAGCTGAAACTAGAAAAATGCCCATGGGAGCAATAAGAAAGAAAGTTAAATGAGCACAAAGGATAAAGCCAACTTCATCTGAAAGTAACCAGGTTTGCTTAGAACAAGAAAGGGCCGGTGAAGCCCACACACTGAACACCCATTCACTGCTGCCGCTGACTCCCCGCAATGCTTTCTCCTTAAACCTATTTGAGGGAAATAGTTTGTCCTATTGAGCTCTTCTGAAACAAAGAAAAGAATGTTAAGAAATAAGGACCTTTGTTTAAAAATTGGCTACATCGAGAGTATGAGGGGTGGACTGTCTATTAAATGTATCAGCCACGACCATTTGCATTTTCGGCACAAAGACCGTGCTCACTATTCTCTGCTTTTGGAGACCCTCTTACATAACTGCCCGGTGCTCCAAAGAGACATGCAAACACTCAAACTCTCTGGAGTTTCGGAAGCTCATTTTAAGGGCTGCATTTGAAGTACTCCGGAAGAGAATTCTAATTATCTACACACTGGCAAATTTCCCTTTGTCCACAATGAGCTTGGCTCTAGCTGTTTCCAATCCATCTGGAAGCCAATGGAGATGTGGTCTCTGCTTCCATGGTTGCTTGTTCCTATTTGTAACTTAGGGATGTTCAGATGGAGATCATTTTAATTTTTTAGCATGTAGACCCAAGAGCAAATATTAGTTGCATTAAGTAAATAAATAAATAAAAATAAGGCAGTGGTCTTTTTTTTTTTTTCTTCCTGGGCTCCTTAACAACATCTCAACTGTATTTTTGTCTCATCTGGTGGAAAATTCCCCTTCTAAAAAACTATGGGAAATATTCTTCTTCCAAGACCTAAGATTGTCTCGTAGCTAAAGCCAGATCCTTGTGGCAATTTGTAAAAATTGTTAATCATCCAGTGAGAGAAATGCACTTCCCTTTACTCCCATATACCAGGCTAACCAGAACTATTTGTTGCTACAAAAACAAATGGTCATAGCAGTCTTTTTTTATGGCAAAAGAAGCTAAATTCTTTTGCTTGCTCATTCACATAAAAGACAAGCATCCTTTTCACAGGTCTTTTTGACTACCAGGAGATTCAAATGCATCTTCCAGGCAAGCAGAAAGCATTGCGATTTCCTGGCCATCCACACTAACAATTAAGTCAGCTTTAAGACAACTGCATTCTAGATAAAAGTAACTTTTAGTGTAGACTCCTTAGCACAAAGAATTTTGCTACCACACAAAGGCTTTGACCTTGGAGAATGGAATTTCCACCACAGATAAGAGCACCAGCTCCCAGCTCTCTGCAGGGTGAACTCACATGTGTTAGGAAATCCTGACGCCCAGTGGCAGAGGATTAAAATGCTTCTGAGGCTGCTGCAATGTAAGAGTATTACTGCCTTCAGCCATAACGAGTAATGACAACTCAGCATTTAGAAATTGGCTAAAAAAATGAAAAATAAATAAAAAAGGCAAGCAGGATCTTGCAAAGCTGTTCAAAGACTTGAATAAACACTAAACTAATGAAAAAAATCACTGCACATTTCTCAGTAAGCTTGCAAGCAACTGAAGTTACATGCAAGACATATTTTTGGATTCAAACCATGCATGTAACTACTGCAGTTTCACTCACAAATTGCTAATAGTCTACACAGATATTCAGATATACACAATTTGATAACACAGAACCAGTAATAATGTTTTATGGAAGATGTAGTTTTTACATTTCTACCTATCGTATGTGATTTTTTTCTCTCTTTTTTTTTGAAATTGCACTGATATTGTCTCAGTGCTTCTTTAATTTTCTTTCCCTGGGTTTCAGATCTGTGAATTCTCTGTGATTTAGACCTCTTAAATATCTCTGGTCCAGCAGACCAGGATCTAGCCACAAAACAGACAGATTCTGCAATTTTGTGGTAACCTCCACCTGCGCAGCAAGGTGCAATATACAATATCTGCAGGATACAATAAATTCAGGATCAGGTGGATAAATTATAATACAGATGTAACTGCAGCAGGATAACACAAATAACATTTAGCTTGCATTACATTGCAGGTAATACTGTGCAAAATTCCAGGAAAAGAGACAGTGTTCAATGTGAGTGACCTGCTTATGTCTTGATATCAGAGGAGAAGTCTGAACATGATAAACTGTAAATCTCAGAGTATGGCATGACCTCTTCCATAAGCCCACTAAGCTTAAGGTACAAAGCCAGTGATAGCCACTGAAGTAGATCTGTGGTTATTACCTCAGGAAAAAACAGACCTATTGAGACTGCAGCAGTACCATGAAACACCAACAGCTTTAACCTCCCTAAGAGCTCTGAGATGTGACAGACCAGCAGCACGCTCACAGGCAACTTATTTTTGTGCCTTGTTAGAAGCCTGGTGACTCCGTCAGACCAAAAACTAATCGACCAGATCTAACAGAAATTTGTCTTCTGTAATTTGTATAGCAAGTTAGAGAGAACATCCCACTACCCTGAGATCACAGTTGACCTTTAAAATCACCCTGCTGTGCTAGAAATACTGATGCTGTCTTTATGGGGGCCTGGTCTTCCACCCAGAAGAGAATAAGCTCAAGGTGTTTGCGAGCTTTCTTATCATCAGAAGTCCAGGAAACTACAGAGACAGTAATTTGCTCTGAAAGAATCTGTGTCCTTAAGGCGACAAAGCATATGTTTTTCTGAAACACCTCGCAGCTAACTGGCTCTTCACGCAGGCTCAGCCAGCTACTGAGCATGATAAGCTTTGCACTAACTACAAAGCTAGAAAGAAGGTTACTGAATCAGTAAATAATTATAAAGTTCTTCGCCTGGACCTCTGCCTGCTCTGTACCCAAGGAGCCACCTACTGGGATTTCCCCATAAAACACAGAACAAAGAAAGCTGCTTTACTCTGGCTTTCCAAAAGCCAGGAACTCTTCTCCATAATCTGAACTCCCAACGAGAATGGAGTCTGTGAGTCACCAGCCCTCTTCTGGGCTCAGGCTACCACAGAAATCCATCTCTTGGTGCCAAGCACAGGCTCCAGAGGCACTGGAACTACCTCCAGTCTTGTGGCTGAGAAACAACACGCGCACCACAAATCTGCCCTCACACCAGCCCCTGACACCAGAGGGACGTGAGCCAGAGGAACATCCGAGCGTTTGTGTCCTGACGCCAGAGCAGTAGGACAGCAGAGGGGAGCCAGAAACTCCAAGGGCACAAGGACATTAAAAAGCCACAGCAGGGTCATATTTATTTATCCATGAACCACACACAAGTGTGTGCTCTGACCTACGCCAGCAAGACGAAGGTGCCAAGCTATGAGCTCACGCAGTGTGGCCTGGGGATCTGCACCACAGCACAGTGGCTGAGCAGAGCTTAAATCAAAGCAGCTACCTAGGGAGGAAGGTAGATCTCAGCACAGATAGAGAATGGCTCTCCATCACCAAGCAAAGCCAAAAACAATTTAAAAATGTTCCACAAAAACTTGCCACTTCCAGCCAAGTTTTTCAAGAAAACATACTGTTTTTTAAAATTCTTTTTCATGATGTAAAGCAGCCTTTCTGGCTTCTGATGGGACATAATTTTGTGCCACCCAAATATCAAGGAAGCAGAATAATGACAGAGATTCTGGTCTAGACACTCATAGGCACCTGCAATCTTGATGAAAACCTGGATAAATTATAACCAGGTGCTCACATAAAAAGTTAGTTGAGCAACCTGCATGTGCAAGTGGCTACACTCAAAGGTGTAGTTTTAAGATACAATTAAGCATTTATGCTAAATTCTCTCCTCCTCTCACCTATGCTTTCCCAACCTGTTCATTCCTCAAGTCCTTTCCATTTGTTGATGACTGGAGCAGTTCAATGAGAAAACAGAGGAAACATTTTCCCTTTTCTCCCACAGAAGAGCTTGTGATCTTTATCGTAACTATAATGAATGTTGAATGTTAAATTATAATATTTGGCATTTGTTGTTGTGCTTCCTACATTCTACACACTTTCAATGGCGCTTATTCCAAAAGCCACTTTCAAGAATCTAAATCCTGAGGTAGGCACTTGAAGTAATTAATGCATGTGCTTTAAAAGATTTGGTTTCAAATTCATGTCAATTAATTCAAAAGTAAACTCCTTTCTTCTGACATATATTTTATATATAATTTATTAGCAGAAAGGATAGCATCTAATCTAAATGCTAACAATTAGAGGCTGCTAATTTTCACCTAGTCATCTCAGCACTGAAGGCAATAACTTGTGTTTCACTGATGTGCATCTTCTAGAGAGACAGGCACTTCTGAATGAAGACATCAAAGAGAAAACCTCGTGGGAGCAGTTGCTTTCCCCAGCAGCGAGGACAATGTGAGAGGCCCCTGTCCTGGGCATTGATGGGGGTGCAGGAAGGGGCTGCATTGTTGCCTGTGCAGTGGCAGTCAGAGCACCCTCTGATGCAGCTGATGGCAGCTCTCGGCTTCACCCTTCCTCCCTTTGCATTCTTCCCACTCTTAAGGCTACTGATTCTTTTTCATACTTTTAGCCTTTGTTATAATTTTCATAACTTAAAGTTGGTTTTCATTTGCATAGGTCTCCCTTTTGTTTGTGGCTTCAGACACACCTGTTGAGCTTTTCTCTGCAATCATTGGGGCTACAGAAGGCTGCATTTTATAAGTTTACTGCTAGACAGGGCTGTAGAAAGGCATGCAGCAGAGCAGTGGTAGACTAGATAAAATATCCAACTCAGGAGACTTCCTGCTCTGGACAGACAACACAAAATCTTTCGGAGTACTCAGGGTTTCCATTTGATCTTCTTGGTCTGACATGAGTACTGGGGCAGGAATGATTTTCCTCTGAGAAGAAGTACCATTTGGCCTTTCAGGATTTCATCAGTGTTACTCTATGCAGGCAGAGTGACATGGGTTAGTACCACGTATTTCACACCTGCTCTTCATGCTAGGATAACCTCACTAACTTCCAGAGGTTCGCTGAGGAGCGTGGGTTTAATTAAATGAATAGCATAGGGCAAGTAATCTATCTTACCTCAAAGCAATATGCTTTTCCAAGGCCATCTCCTGCTCCTGTGACCACTAGACAAAGAAAAAAAAAAAAAAAAAAAAGAGAGAGATTACATTTGTAGCTCTGCTTTAGTGTTTTCTTTTCTGGATTCTTTAGTCTTCATCATCTAAATTTCTTGACTGTTACTACCTAAATGGTACTCTTAAAGCATAGAACCAACTTTTTCTTAAATTTTATTTCTTTTTGCTAACAGGTTTTATCATTTAGCATTTTTCCTCTTCAAACATCTTACTAATATTAGCAAATCCGTCTCCAGCTAGCACAGTAGCCAATTATTTTTCTCATTTTCAATATGGTGAAACACAGCGACAAGCAAATTTTCTACAGTATGGTAAAAATTTCTTACGCATGCATAATTTTAAAAGCCTTGATTTCGTAAGATAGAATGCTAGAATGGCAGGATGTAACGACTAATTGGTCCCTGAAGCTAATGATATTTCCTTCTGATGATCTTTCCCTCACAAGAAATCTGTCTGTAAGAAAACAACACAGCAAATTTACCACCACCTATGAAATGCTCTTCTTCCAGAGTTTTCCTACTCACAGTCTACTTCTGGATTTTGTGTCTGGGAAAGCAACCAAGTATTGGCATATGTAAAGCACCCTGAATCCTAGAAGTTATGCAAACAAATACCAAAGAGGAAATACAGAAAGAAAGCATTAGTTATCACTATGAGGAAGAAATACAATAGGAAAACACAAAGGCAATTCCAAGGTAAACCTGGTAAGTTTTCAGAGCAAACAGGATTACGAGTCTTTATCTGAAAAAAAAACTGTGCTTTTTTTATGTGCCTAGAAAACTGGCAAAAACAAAGCAAATGTCTGTTGGGAAATAAATTTCTACCCGCCAGATTCAGTTACTGTGATTCTCAGCTTCTCATGTCCCTTATCATGCAGTGAATCATTCAAACCTATGATTTCAATGTATCCAGCATACTGCACATTTTCAAAAGGACAGAGCATAAAAGGCGAGTCCACTGAAGGAAGCAACAGTCTCTCAAACTTCAGTGGAAAAAAGATCTTTGAATAGATACTTCCCCTCAGTGGCTCACTCTTCATGCACAGATCTGAGACTTGTTCCTCACTTAAATTAAAACAGGGCCTACATGTTATTTCAGAAATATTTGGCCTTTAGACACCACTTCTGCCAAAGAGTGCATTTCGCTCTTTGGTTAGTCCGCTGTGAAATGTGCTTACTCAGTGCTTATTAAATCCAGTTAGTTCAGTGCTCTAGGGTGAGGGCAAGAAGTACAAGAGTATTGATAGAAGTCTCTTGTTAAGATGCCCCCACTGATTGCAGTAGAAAATGCAGTAACTTTTCATTCCTACTTCACTACAGTAATCTAACAGGCCTGCGAAAAATATCAACATTAATGGAAGATGTTTGTTAAACATTTTATGAGAACTCGTAATATCTTCAAAATAGAACTCCCAGGTGGAAGCCTTTGAAGTTTCTAGGCAAAAGTAGATTTGCCTCATTAATGATACAATTAAGGATAGGACACCATTTCAGGAAAACAGACTGGAGCAAAGTCACCAGGAATGAAGAAAATTTGCTTTGGGGAGAGGGGACCATATGCTAAACAGAAACTAGTTGCTTCATATATCAGGAAAGTGAGGATATCGGCAATGTCATCAAAACTAAAGCATTTCCAGCAGTGAGAGAGAGGAGGGAAAAAAAAAAAAACACATAAGTAGGAATGGGGAAGGAATTCACTTCTATTCATTAGGTGTGTTAGCTTTTATCAGATCAGTTACTTTCTTACTCCCTGTGTGAAAAATCTTCTGTCTTTTAACTCAAAGTTACTAGGAGAGATGAAAAAAAAAGAAAAAAGAAAAAGCGGCAAACCATGCTTATTGGAAGGGATGTTATTTCCTGGATGAATAGGGTAAGAAAATGTAAAGAAAACCCAATCAGTAATGATTAGTAACATAACAGGTCCCAATTAGTAACATAACAGGTCCCAATTAGTAACATAACAGTTCATCACTCTGTTACAAGAAGAAAAATGTGAGGAAATTTCCTTTACCTGCCCATTCTCCCTGCGACCGAAAGAAAGTCTGAGGCAAAGCATTCCAAATATGTGGGAAAATATATTTCAGAAATAGGATGCATTTTACCAGAGTATGGAAACAGATCAGAGCTCCCAAAGCAGTGAGTAGCTGATTCTGGATCTCCTCCATGGCAAAGGCTAAGGCAGGGAGCTGGGATGAAACTGTTCCTATCTCCCTGAGAATGCCCTGGTGCAGGCTCTGAGCCCTGGCCTAGATGTGAGGCATCTAATCAATCACGTGATTTCTTTCCTTTTTTTTTTTTTTTTCCCCCAAGGCGTGTCTGGAGTTTATGGAGTTTAGATTAGAATACAATCTATACAATACACCCAAATTTGTAAACTACTGAAAAAATCCAAATTATACAATGATTTCTGGTGCTTGCTTTAGAGGCAAGATTTTGCTCCACTTCTGGAAAGTATCCAAGAACAAAAAGAATAAATACAATGTTATTGTCATTGCTTAAGATTCGAAGAGACTACAGACAGGTCTTAACCAAAACCCTGGATAAGAACATTCCAAACCTTGGAGTTAATGCACATTAGCATTATGTCTTGCACTGCTGCTCCCTAGTCCAGATACTTCCTCCACTGAATTTGTGCTAAGGTCAAAAAAATGGATTTATCTTCAAATTGCAAGGGTAATAACAACATCTAATTATTTTTATAGCGAAAACAATATCATACAACTTTTCACAGAGCACTTCAAAAATACATCAATACAATTACGCCTGTTTTACAAAGGAGGAAATTATGGCAGAGAGGAGTATTAATATATTTAAGGAGGAAGGACTTTCAATTATTAAAAAAAAATCTCCTTGAACTGTTATTAAAGTTATGGAAGTTACCAAAATCCTAAGGGAAAAAAAATACAAACATGCTTAACACAAGAAAAAAAATAATCTGAAATAAATGAATCTCAGAAAAAAAGTGAATTAAAAAAAAGTTAAATTTAAAAATTCTCAAGACAGAAGCCACCTAAGCTCTTCTTTGTGGTTTTCTGAAAGATTTTTCATTCTTCAAAGAGCAGTTAAAACTGGAGCAGAAGAATACTGATGCTTATATAGGCACTTAACATAAAGCAAAATAAAAGTAGTGTGTATAGTGTGTAGGTTTTAGTGATATTCTTCCATCTTCCACATGAGGCATATTTAAAACTCAGTCTGAACTTCTGACACCCAGAAACCTTTAAATGAAGGGAGGCAGCACATGTCACCTTCAGCCAGAAAACCACAACTGAGAGAACTGACTCAGTTTTGGAGGCTGATTCAGGAGAAACGTAGCACTAAGTCTGTTTGGAACAAGATATGAGGACCAATACCTTCATATGATGCCTTCACCTGGGTGTCATGGTGGACGACAAGTTGACCATGAGGCAGCAGTGTGCCCTCGTAGCCAAGAAGGCCAATGGGATCCTGGGGTGCATTAAGAGGAGCGTCTCCAGCAGGTCGAGGGAGGTGATCCTGCCCCTCTACTCAGCCCTGGTGAGGCCACATCTGGAGTATTGTGTCCAGTTCTGGGCTCCCCAGTACAAGAGGGATGTGGAGCTGCTGGAGAGAGTCCAGCGCAGGGCCACAAGGATGATCAGGGGCCTGGAACATCTGCCCTGTAAGGACAGGCTGAAGGAACTGGGCCTGATAGGGGATCTAATCAGTGTCTATAAGCACCTCAAGGGAAGGAGTGAAGAGGATGTGGCAGGCCTCTTCTCAGTGGTGGCCACCAACAGAACTAGAGGTAATGGCCGCCAAAATTTCTACAGGAACTTAAGGAAAAATTTCTTGACACTGAGGATGACAGAGCACTGCAACAGGCTGCCCAGAGAGGTTGTGGAGTCTCCTCTGGAGATCTTCAAAACCCGCCTGGAGGCCACCCTGTGCCACATGCTCTAGGTGACCCTGCATGTGCAGGAGGGTTGGACTAGATGATCTCTAGAGGTCCCTTCCAACCTTAATGACTCTATGACACTATTTAGCCTAAAAAGCACTCAAGTTTCTTTGCACATAACGTTTCAGCATACTTAAACATTTCTACACTCTAAGAACTCTTGTTTTACTCTGTAAGTAACATCATTCAGAACATTAAAAAGCCTGAATATTAAATTTCTCGAGGTATTTGCAAACAAATCACAAATGCTGTAGATAATTATTCATTATTTGAGAGATATTATAAATTTGGATTTACACACATCGTTGTTGCGTGTAAAAAATACAATGTGTCTCATCCAAATTTATAATATCCCTCAAATAATGAATAGACACATTGTATTTCTTACACGCAACAATGATGCTGAATTTCTCCTTTAATCAGAAGGGAAAATGAAACAAAACAGAATTTTAACTATGGAGCCACAACCCAAATTTCTCTAATTTATCAGCCTCCTCTGCTTGACTTTTAGGTTTGCGCATGCTCCCAAGCCTCCCTGGCATCTTCTTTCCCAGAGACCTTGGTCTCCCAATATTTCGTATACCAGTACTTCATATCCTTCTTCCAGTATACTTCAAATATTTCTTACAGTACTTCATATTCTTAAAATAGGCTGAGATTCCAAGAGAAAAAACAATAAATTCTCCTGGATGTGAAGTGATTTTTTTTGAGCCCAGTCCTAGTTTTCCCTGAGGTATTGCTTCCCTTCTACAGGAACCATTTCAGGAATTGCGCCCTGCATGGCCGGAGAATCGCTTGTTCTCTTGCCACGGTATTTGTTTTTCTTAGTCCTCTTCCACTACTGTGTATTTGCTCCTCAGTAACCCCTGCAATATTAGTCTGTACAGGTTATTGCACAGATGGATATTCCTTTCCAAACCAGCTGCTGTTTTAACTGGAAGTAGTTTACAGGTTTTTGTAATCTTCTTTTTATGTTCCCTTATGTAAGAAGATACCTGTTGTTACCTGTAAGACTTTTGAAGTTTTAAAAACATTAAACTGACTTCTGAAAAATTGAGTTCTATGGATAGCAACATGTATCTACATGATCGTGCAAATTATGTAAGGGAAACCGATTTTCAGAAGTCAATCCAAGATTTTTAAAAGTA